TCTGAAATAAAAATGAAAGGTTTAATTGCAGAAGAATATGTCGGCACATTGATTTACTAATATTGCTATTTGTTAAGCTGGTTTGCAGTGAAGTTCTAATGAAAGCTTGTAAAATAATGCATAAAACATTCAGGTTACATTTTTCTACTGTAATCTCATACTGGGAGTTCAACTGCTATTACACAATTGAAACACAATCGGTAATTATCTTTACTTATTCAAACAATCAGATATTCACAATGGAAAACAAAATGGCAGGAATATTTTCACTTAGAAATTACATGAAATAAAAATGTTCCCGACAAAAGAAAACAAAATACTATACGAGATGTTAAAATACAGCTTGGCAGCCTTCTTTTTCCTAGTATACATGTTTTATTTAATTTATTTTTTGTGCAATGTAAATTATATGTAACCACGTAACTTCTTAGCACCACTGTCGTTCATTGAAAGCTGTGACATTCATTAAAGTACAAGTCAACCCATCACTTTTATTTTTAAGGTAGATGCAGACTCTAACCCTACATGCATTCCACCAGCTGCTACACATAATTCCTCACGGTGGGCCTTCTATTTGTGACAACCATAGAACGTGCCTGTGCAATGGGTGTAGCCTCCATTGGAAGGGCATGCAGCAGGCTAACAACACTGGCTGGCTGGCTGCTATTCCTGTCCCTGACGCCTGTCTCTTCCTCTACTCCAGCAAAGGATTGTTCCTCAGTGTCCTCACGTCTTATACACTGTATAGGATGTGATGACTCACAGGACCTTAGACCACTGGAGCGGTCTAACAGCCAGCCGGTTACGATGTTCAAGAAAGTATAACTTTTATGTGCAACACTACAAAAAACGAGCACTTAACCCTTTGCAGTGCAGGGGTACTCCACTGCAAGGGTTAAGAATAATTGTGACAGGAGTTTTACTTGAAATAAAAAAAAATCCAAAAACCAAAAATACAAGGTTTTGGGGTGACTTCTACCTTAATAGACCTACATTTTGACATAAGGCCACACTTCAAAGTTATAATCACTGGGAATGTGGCGTGGCATTATCGTAAGAGTGGGCTTATGACTACCTGTACATTTAAAGAAGGGCACAAAAAAAAGAAGGATATTCTATATAAAGTAGAACTGTGACCAGGCGAAGGACAAAACATTATTCTTAACAAGCAGTAAACACGCTAAGTCAATACTGATCTCTGCAGCTTTAGGTACTGTGAAGTAATGCATCATCAAAGTCAAATGAAGAAGCATTATTACCAATCGGCGACTCATATCCTCTCCTTCCAGAAGTGATTCAGCAGCTCAGTTGCCTCTGCCCCCTATCCAAACAGTGGTTCAGCAGTTCAGCTTCCCCTGCCAGCAGTGACTTGGCATCCTGAAACACTTTTAATCTCTAGACCCAGACCTAAGGGACTTCAATGCTTCTCTTATGAACTTCGGGGGTGAATTGCTCCACAGTGTCTGCCGCTACAATAAGTTAATGAGGGCTTGATTTAAAGGTTCTTGACTGCTTGTTAAGAAAATGTAAATGTTTGAATGTCTATAGCCTCACCCCAGGCATGATTAACACAGATTGCCTGCATTAGACTGAAGTACATAAACGATTTAACAACCTGCATTATTCCGAATAAATAAACATAACAACCCCACCAATAAGTACAATCCCACATTATACATACATAGAAAAACATATATGCTCAGCATAAAAAAACAAACAAAAGCAAAACATAAGAGTAAAAACGTTGAAAGAAATCAAGAGGATGAAGGAAAAATATACTCAAGAAGTGTTACAAGCTTTGAAGCGTTGATGAACAAGACCAGATGGAAGAAGAGTTTGGCACTCTGAAGAATGAACAGTAAAGAGAAAAGATGCTTGAGATATCTAAAGCCGCTGAGAAGATTAGGCGATGAATGTAAAGACTGAGGTGGCTTGGCAAGCAAGAAATAGAAGAAGCAGTCTGAGTTAAAAGAGGCAGAGCACTCTCACCTCCAGTGGTGCGGACAAAGTAACTGTGGGGGAACTGAGGCTACGAGGTCGCCTAATCTGAGGCTCGCTCAGATGATTGCTACTGCTTGAGTTGGATCCAACTGCACCATCTTCTGCAAGCTGATTTAGAGGCAAAACATAGTTAGCAACCTAAAGACATCCTACTTACAAACAAAACAGCTGAAGCACGCAGTGTTGTAAAGGACAGTAAAATGAGGCCTATTTACCAAAATTTCTAAGGTGGCACAGCACATTACTTCATTGTTGTAAATGAACGCTTACTAAAGCTCCCTTAGCGTTGTGAATTTGTTCTCCCATTGCGCAGTAGGAGGCTTTGCTTTTTGTGTGCCATCTCCAACACTTCCGGGTTGGTTGGGAATATGTTCTCCCATTGTGCAGTAGGAGGCTTTGCTTTTTAAGTGCCATCTGCGACACTTACGGGTGTGTTGGAGGCTTGTTTTACCGGAATGCACACACAACACAAACGGCAGCACAAATTCCCAGCACTAATAGAGCTCGACTACACATATGTGATATGTTGTGCATTCAATGCATAGTATTGTGACCGGGTCTTTTTAAAGGGGGACTCCACCCTTGTTTAGCTTTGGCTGGATGGTGATTAGAAGACTTGTAGGTAAAGTTCTTACCACAGAGCTTCACTGAGAATACCCACCTCTTTGTTGTTCCTCTAGCAATAACCTTCCCATTTCTTTCAGCTGCCAATCTGAGCTGTGTATCAGCTCCTAACATTACTGTTAAACTTCAGCCAAACTGGAGTGCACAAGAGCAGTGAGGGGAGGAGGTAGGTGGAAGAACGTCAGGCTGGAAAATCATTCATTAGGACACCTCCAAAGCACTAAGGAGGCTATGCTCTCTTGCATACTACTTCCACCAATAAAAGGCTGCCGCCACAGCTTTTATGTGCACAGTGGCGTATTCTTTGTGCCTACAGTACATGCGTTCTACTCTCCACTCCCAAGATATGCAGCACAGCTATGCGCTTTGGGTACTGGAACAGGCACAAACTAGCTAAGCTATCTTACAGTAACAAGTCTCTGAGACCTATAGAGCAGGCTGCTGATTCAATGCACTAGCACCCATTCAAAAATAAAATATTTTTGAATTGATTTTGCCGTTTCCGGTTTCCAACTTAGTTCAGCTAAATGAAGCAAAAATAGTATGCTGGGAACAAGATCTTCATACCTGCATGATGGGACGGGTCCATGTTGTAGTGCGATTGTTATGATTAACATAATAAGTGCGTCCTTTAGCGTCTTTCCTTTCTTCCCAGCCTGACGGTAACCCCGGGGTGGTGTGTACATAGGCCACCGATGGCTGTTGTGTGCAAGAAACTATTGTCATTCTGCAATATTTTACAAACAATGCCAGGAATAACAGATCACCTAAATGTAAGTTGCCCATAGACTTTTTTTTTTTAAACAAGTGACCTGGCATGTCTGTGCATACATCTGACACCCTCTGAAGTGCCTCATATCAGGAAAGCAGCAGACTACTGTATAATAGATTCTTCCCCTTTGTGGTCAGTTAGCCAAGAGGTCTGTTGAGGTGTCATATTATGGCTACTGCCCAATCCTAATTAAATCAAGAAGATTAGGCAATGATCATCTATTGCTTACTGTTACCTTTGGATAAAAAGGTTCACCTTATGTGAGGACTTATAGCCAAAAACTCAGGGCTGAATCACACTTTTACATTGTGGTGCATTGTGGTAATGCATGTTATGTGCATTAGCATGTTGTGGTGCCGTTAATTCTGAATGGCACCCCAATGCACTAAGGTGACACAACTGACACACGTGTTGCTGCGCACGACAACACAGTGTAATGCACTACCATTTGTTGTGGTGCACGGCATCAGAGAAAATGCTTCAAGTACTTTTTTTGTCCATTCTTGTGTGTTGGCAACCCGTTTTAAATATATGGACAGAACACGTTAACGAGTGTGCAAGAACAGCAAAGTGTGAATGAGCCCTCTGTGTAATATAAAAGAGAATGTATGACATTAAGTACAATTTAAAGAGGTCTTCCTAAAATGAAATCATTTCATTTAACTTAATCGCAGAGGTTGTCTGTACAGTGATTTACATCCTCAGCTTATTAAAGTATATGTCTGGGCAAAATAATTAAAATCATATTCAGTACATTTCATTAATACGCCCCATTTCGCCATGTTTTATCCCTTTAAAAATTCTGCAAATACAGAAAAATACCTGTTGAGCTGCCAGAAAGTTAGTGTGAAAGAAGGTATCCAAATTGGAGATATGTTGTACATAGTAGAGGCCATATGCAAAACATCTTTACAATATTAGCATTACAGGTACAAATGGATGTGAATATATGCTCCTTCAGCTTTTTTAAACAGAGCAACCAGGATATTAATAACATGGCATATTGAGACAGATTCGGTATTTCAAGGAGTTATGTTGTACCAACATAGACCAGTAAGTGGTCCTGCGGTCAAGCTACAGTGTGTATATATAAATATAGATATAAATCATCTTAGGTAGAACAATGGTTGGGTATTATATAGGAATGGTGGTCCTGCAGTCAAGGTACAGTGTATAACATGATATAAATCATCTTAGGTAGAACTATGGTTGGGAATGGTGGTCCTGCAGTCAAAGGTATAGTGTGCAACACAATATGAATTATCTTAGGAAGAACTATTGTTGAAAGGGGGTATTGTGTAGGAACAGTGGGAATGGGAACTGGAGCTGGGTTCTGAAAAGGTAACAAGCTCTTACGCTCAGTAGTTTCTGGGATAAAGGAAGAAGTGGGGCTGGGGGGTGTCGTGGGAAAGGATGGAAGGAAAGGCAGGAAGAGGTACAAGTGGGAAATGTGGGGACAAACAGGAGTGGAGGGTGAAGAGGCATGGGGGTCTGTAGGCCCATGTATCCAGGTATAAAGGATGTATAGCCTTGTGTGGTACATAACCATTGAGGTGAGTGGTTTTGACCTTGGGAGGGTATACTATGTAAAATGGACTTAAAAGGACACTACACTCAAGAGTTAAATCTTAAAAATGCATTCAAGTACTCTACCTATATACAAAAAAGTATCTTATTTGTGTATCACTCGGCTGTAGATCCTCAAATCCTCTCTGAATTTGAGCAGACACTGTCCTTCCTTCTGGAGGGTGGCTACTTTTGTTCCCCATTGTCCCTGTGTGTGTTGTAAAGTAGTCACCGCTCCAAGCTCACTCCCATGATGGACTATAATCTCACATTTAGTTTACTAATTTGTTTTGAGATTGTAGTCCATCACGGGAGTGAGCTTGGAGCGGCGACTACTTTATAACACACACAGGGACCATGGGGAACAAAGTAGCCACCCTCCAGAAGCAAGGACAGTGTCTGCTCAAATTCAGAGATGATTTGAGGATCTACAGCCGAGTGATACACAAATAAGATACATTTTTGTTATTAGTTAAGGTGCTTGAATTCATTTTTAAGATTGAACTCCTGAGTTTAGTGTCACTTTAAGGTCGAAATATTGGGATGAGTTTTACAAAGTGTATCCAAATAAACCAAATGGTTCTAAATTTATCCTCAGTATTTTCAAGAGTGCCTGCCAGTTCTTGCATCTGCTTAATATATTCAGTAGGAGTATAGGTAAGATTTATATGTGGAGATTGGCAGGTCATTCAGGTACAAGTGGTACGTGGCAGACATGTTTGCTAGGGAGATACCAGTAACAAATTTGCAAAAGGTATTTTTCTGTACTCAGTCTTTTTCAAAAGCCAAAACATAGAGAAATGTACAAATCATGAAATGTGCAAAATAGTATTTTTTACTTCACCCACAGATACTGTAACATCTAAGTGAGAGCCGATGGCTGTTTGAAATCCAAGTACTAATCAGACATCTACACTGTCGGGATGATTGTTAAGCTGGCCTTATATGGTACCATCTGATCATACATTCTCTGCACAATAACAGGGCTTAAATATATTGAAGTTATATATTCAGCCTGGCTCTTGCACTACAAAACTGTTGGTAAATCTAATATAGATTGTACAACCACACTATAATATGTGTATAGTGTGGAGAATATTGGGGTGTCATTGCTAGCCTCCCTTTTAAAATTCTAATTGACTGACTGTCTGGCTTCAGTCATTCAAATTCACTTGGACAAGCATGCAGTGAATGAAAGGCAGGGACACGTCAGAATTAGGATTCCACATTGCTATACTTATTCTGGGTCAATGCCCTAAAGTACAGGGGCCAAAGAATAAGCAAGAGAGCAAAGCAAACAGTGTTTTCGGACGTCAGCAGTGCTGGCCTACTAACAAATTCTAACAAAGTAGATGTCTAAAAGTTTTAGTTATCTTCGCATCTACATCCCAATACATAACACTTGACAAAATTAATGTAATTATGGGACATTTAATATATCAGTTTGATAACTGAAATAAATATGCATACATAGAACATAAACAAAAAATTGACATTTTTGGGGGGGAATTTAAAAAGGTATGTATTCGATAATCTTTCATAAAAATGGGCTCACATTCTTTATCAGGTGGCCCAGACTATACATGTACAACAACAGTATAACATTTTATTTAAAACAGAACCATGCCTAGAACAGTCGCTGTGTTTCATTCTCAGTGCATTGAGCGATGTACACCTCTAGCAGCAGGAACTCTATTGGTCTACCAGTGCTAAAAATGTATAAATCATATAATAAACATATATTATCATTCATACACGTCGGAAATAGCTCATTGAACTAGATAAGCCCCACTACATGTATATCTTAGTATAAGAAGCACATACATACAGTATATGAAGGTTAACTGATGAGCATTAGGAGCCACCAGGTGGATAAAATATGTATTTTTTTCAGAGTCTATTGAGGAACACAAGTATTTATTCACCTCACAAAAGTTCAGCCGCCTACAGGAGAACAAGACACTGGAACACAAAAAAAAACTGTCAGCCAGCCAGCCCAGAATAATACCTCCCTCTACCAGCATGCCTCATTTTTGTAGACAATCAGTACTGAGAGCATGATCATATACACATTGGGATGGGATCTGTGTCCCTTGATGGACTCCAAAAAAAGGAGTACAAAAATCATATTTTCTTTCTTGTCCATTGATGGACATCCAAAGTCTTTCAAAAACAGCCCAACCTAGAGTTGGGTAAAACAGCAAACAGGTTAAGAAAACAAAATAGAACTGGGGACTGCCTGAAGCTCAAACAGCTGCCTGATGGACCTGGCACCGGGACATGGCATCAAACGTCTATCCGGTAGAACTTGGAGAACGTGTGAATAGAAGACCGGGTTGCAGTCTTACAAATATGGGAAAACAGTGGCTTGATGCTGAAAAGTCCAAGAAGCACTTATAGAGCTGAAGAAAACAAATCCACTCTTCTGAGGACACTAGCAATTAACTGAGGAATTCTGGTAGTGGGAGGGGTTATCCTGGGCTAGCATATAGTTTAGTTTTTTTGTCCGGTTTCCAAATCTCCTGTAGGCAGCAGTAAAACCTGAAGGAGATAGATTTCCTGTGTCTATTAAGGGGCACAGGAAGGAAGTTTTTCACCTTCCTGGGTCCCTCAATGAAGAAAGAAAACTAAACCCACAAGCCCACCCTATTGAAAACCATCCATAAAACTCCCACTGTGTATTCTGATAGAGGAGGGCATACCACTGTTTGAATACTTGAACAGTAACGGCAACCAATCGCTGGCAAGATGAACTCACGTACACAGTGCAGCTTAGCCCATAGATTGACCTGGCACCTAGGTCTAAATTCTCGTATTGCCGGGTTTTTTCTGTCAAGTTCTCAGCTATGGACATTGCCCGATGAAATGCACTGAGAATGAAACACAGGACTATTCTACACACAATTTATACATGGATTGTTCCGTTTTAAATTAAATGTTGGACTGTTGGCGAACATGTATAGTCTGGGACCACATGATTTATGATGAGTCCATGTTTTTATTATGAACAATTGTAAAAGGCATAACTAAGTGTTGTTTTATGTAAACATATACATTGAAATCAAACTGATATCATAAAAGGCCCATAATGAAAGCAGAGAGTGGCCTACCGATTTCTCTTATGGCTTTTAGGCTAACTTCTACTATTCCTGTTGCTTCTTTAAAGCTTCCTTTGAACATCACTATTATATAAATTCTTTCTATAAAAACCCCTCTCGTCTTCACATTTCTCCTCCATGCTCAAGCAAAGTACTGTCTTTTCTGTATGGAAGGCTTGACCTGAATGGAGCACAAACCATAGGTTCCCCAATACTATACAGCCAAAAGTTTGTGGATATCTGACCGCATTTATAGGAGCATGTAAGTTTGTTGGACAGCACATTCAAAAACCAGGTGCACAATATCCAGCACACAGCTATGCATTCTCCAATGACTCTCCATTGCACAAAGAGACATTTTAGACCATAGTGCACTTCCAAACTTCTGGCAACACATTGCCTTGCACTTCATTTTTTATGGCACATAAAGCATGTACAGGTTGTTTTTTTCCATATGTCATAATATTGATGCACAGATTGTATATTCTCTCTCTCATGGCTGTCCGTATGTCAGACAAGTGCTAAAAGAATGCCGAGTTAAAAAAAAGCCTCCAGGATAAGAAATTGCACAGTTTGAAACCAGTCGAAGCAAGCTGCAAGACTTGCAGTGAGGGTACATAAAGCACAATCACTGCAATACATTACCAAGCAGAACACTGACTGATCCTGCATACTTAACACATAAAAGAACATATATAATTTGTAACATACACAGATAAACTTGTTAAAAAGATTATAATACATTTATAAGATAAGTTACACGTTGCAGGTCAACTGAGCATTCATAAAAATACAAAAACAAAAACTTCCCAGACAATCCTTCTCCCCCCACAAGTATTTTAGAAATTAACACTCTTCTATCTGTAATTATCCACACAAACGCATCATGGACATAATGAAAAAAAGGATTAAAAAAGATATTTTCATAATTGCAAAGAACTTCAAAAGTATATCTGTAAAAAATAAGTCAAGGCAACTGGACTTGATGTATTTTTCTTGGACATTTCACTGGTCATCCGTCCAGCTTTCTCAATTCAGAATGACTTGTACAAAAATTCTCTGCTAATAAATATGGTGAATGTGGCTCCAATCCACATAATATGTTAGTCACAACCAAGTGTTGATTTCATTTGCATAATTGGAGTCTAGGAGGTGTTAAAACAGCATTGTATGTGGCAGACAATAGATGTCTCTCCCCCCACCTCTAGTCAAGCTTGGCCTCTCCATTTTTACATATATGGCCTCTCTCACACTTCTTTTAAACCAGTCATCCTCCCTGTCTGAGGAGGAAATAGAGGTCTAATGGAGGAGGACTGGTTTAAAAGAGGTGTGAGAGAGGCCATTTATGTAAAAATGGAGAAGCCAAGCTTGAATAGAGGTGGGGGGAGACATCTATTGTCTGCCACATACAATGTTGTTTTAACACCTCTAGACTCCAATTATGCAAATGCAATGAACACCTGGTTGCGACTAACCAGGTGTTAATTGCATCTGGGCAGGTTAATAACACCTCCTAGACTCCCAGTATGCAAATGCAATTAACACCTGGTTGCGACTAACAGATGATATGGATTGGAGCAACATTCACCATATTTATTCCCAGACAATTTTTTGTACAAGTCATTCTGAATTGAGAAAGCTGGTCGAATGTCCAGTGAAATGTCTTCAAGAAAAATACAGCAAGTCCAGTTGCCTTGACTTATTTTTTACAGATATACCATGTGACCTGGATGAATGAGAACCTTCACAGACAACTTCAAAAGTAGGTTAAAACAATGTCAGCTTGCACAGTAAGATGACATTGTGCAAGAGTACAGAGCAGGCTTTACCATGTACATTGCCCAGGGTAGAAAGGGGCGATGCAATACCATTCCACAATCACAAATCTTTGACATGATCGTGCAGAGGTGAATACGGAGGTAAACAATGTGCCATTTCCTTTGGAAGTGAAGGTTTTAGTGTATTTTTAGGTAAGATTTTAGGCATGTCCTATTTCAATATTCACAAGAGGCCAACATACAAATATGTAAGAGCAAACGCAGACTAAACTTTAATCAATTACCACAGACAATTAATGATTGATCCTAGTGTCATTGTTCACACTATTCAAAATAACTGTATGAACATTACCGTGGACTCCTCTCCACCTGTCACAGTTGAGGACCGTGCTCGACCTGTTGGTGTGCTTGGCTGTTGAATGACAGTGTGAGCATTAAATATTACAGTTTCCGTTGTACTTCTGTGCTTTGGTTAGCTCGGAAAGTGAGTGAGTTACATGGAAGAAGTGTTAAAGGCCAACTCTGATACAAACTGATATTTCAGTTTTGCGTGGTTGCTGAAAAGATGAATCACATGCTGGTTTATTGTATCTTTTGGGAGCATCAGTGGTAGGATATCCCCACCATATCTGTGCTACTGTTTGGGACTCTGAAGTCAAATAAGGGTGACAGTCCTTCTTGATGGACTTTTCATAATATAGAGCAGCCTTTCTCAACAAGGGTTCTGTGGAAATCTGGGGTTCTTCCAGATGTTGATTGGGGTTTCTTGAGCAATAAACAATTTCTGTATCTCAGATAAGTAACCACTGATCTTTTTATGTAATGGGCACATTCTTCCCACTGGCCACTAATGTAAGGAGCATTTTTAACTCTGACCACCAGGGTCCTTCTCCAACCTACCACCAATCTAAGGTAGCCCTTCTTCAAATGACCACCCATGTAAGAGGGTCCTTCTCCCACTGACCACCACAATGTAAGAGGGTCCTTCTCCCACTGACCACAATGTAAGATTGTCTTTCTCCCACTGACCACAATGTAAGATTGTCCTTCTCCCACTGACCACAATGTAAGATTGCCCTTCTCCCACTGACCACAATGTAAGATTGTCCTTCTCCCACTGACCACAATGTAAGATTGTCCTTCTCCAACTGACCACAATATAAGATTGCTAAGATTGCCCTTCTCCCACTGACCACGATGCAAGATTGTCCTTCTCCCACTGACCACAATATAAGATTGCCCTTCTCCCACTGACCACAATATAAGATTGCCCTTCTCCCACTGACCACGATGCAAGATTGTCCTTCTCCCACTGACCACAATATAAGATTGCCCTTCTCCCACTGACCACCCATGAAAGAGGGTCCTTCTCCCACTGACCACCCATGTAAGAGGCTATTTCTCCCACTGACCACCACAATGTAAGAGGGTCCTTCTCCCACTGACCACCACAATGTAAGAGGGTCCTTCTCCCACTGACCACAATGTAAGAGGGTCCTTCTCCCACTGACCACAATGTAAGAGGGTCCTTCTCCCACTGACCACAATGTAAGA